TTAAGATGTATTTTATAATTATCATCATAATGAATTCAAAATATGAAGACATATTTTTATAATTATTGTCATGTTTTCGTAATTAATTAATATATGTTAATTAATTTGGATTTACGTCATTATTTTTAAGATATTTTTAATTATCGTCATAATGAATTCAAAATGGGATGATTTTTTTTTGTATAAAAGGATTGATTTTTTCATATAAATAATGTAATGGATAATGTTCAGAAAACCCAAGATATTTGTGAACAAAGTGAAATATCTTTACAAAGAAATTTCAAGGAATATTCAAGAAGCTGCAGATCACATTCACGGAATGATTATCCAAGTAATCAATGGTCATGTTCACGGGATGAGTATCCAAGTAATCGACGGTCACATTCACGGGATCATCAAAGTCGTCATCATCAACATAGGCAAAATGGGTCTCGACATAGATGAAATTCAGATCGCGAAGAATCTCAATATGATCGTAGAAGTCAACGTTCTCAATTTGTATTAGAATTTAGGAGAGATGAAAGTGTTGATAATAAATCGATTGAAGAAATTGATCGTGAAATGATGAATATTCGGGGAGTGATGAAATATTTAAAAGAGAGTGTGGCATATCTTAGAAAAGAAAAAAATAAAAGAAGAAGGTATGCGATTAGTCAACAATTAGTTGAACGTTTGAATGAATTAGAAAATCTTGAATGAAAAAAAAAATATAAAATAAAAAAAAAAATAAAATAATAATAAAAAAAATATAAAAAAAAATAATATAATATAATAATAAAAAAAAGTTGAAGAGAAGTAGCAAAGAATATTAATAATAATAAAAAAAATAATATAAAAAAAATAATATAATATAATAAAAAAAAAAAAAACTTGAAGAGAAAGAGTAAAGAATATTAAAAATTTTTTATTTTAGATTCAATTGATGCTATTTTTTTTTTTTTCTTCTTTTTTTTATTCTTCTTGAAGAATAGAAGAAAAATTCAGAGAAAATTCAGTAAATTAAACCGAAAAAAAAAAGAAGAAGATAAAGTAAAAGGTTAAAATATTTTATTGATTTAAATAAAAAATATATATAAAGTAAAATAAATAAATATATATATAGTTGAAATATCTCTTTGATTTAAATGAAAAAAAAAATATTATCGTCTGATAAAGTTTTTAATACGCCAGAGTTAAATGCATTAATATATTTTTACTTAAATGATATTTTTGATCATTTGAGATATAGATTAGTATGTAAATATTTTAAAAGTATTAGTGATACATATAGAAAAATTATTTTATTTTCTGTTTATTTGGATTCTACTTTTTGTATAAATTTTAATTTAAAAGAATCCTTTAAAATTATTTCAAAAGAATTGATATTGGATAATTGTATAAATGGTTTTAAGCCTTTACCCTTTATTGTTCGATTTAAAAATTATAATATTAATCAAAGATTAGAAATTGTGAATGATTGTAATATGGGGATTTATTGTTGTGATAATCCTAATAATTTAGGAAAAAAACTTTTTTTGAATACAAAAAATTTTATTAGAGATTATGATAAAGGGTACTGTGAGGATTGTCAAAAATATACGTATGTTTATTCGGGTAAATGTAAGTATATTTATTATATTTATATGATAATATATAATATATTAATTTAACTTAATAATAGGTATCAATTATTTTAAATATGCTTTAGAAATGTTAGAAGATTGAAAAGTTAAAAATACTCTAAATATATATAAATGTAATCATCATCTTTTACTAGAGTATTAT